AAACGGCATTTTTGGACACTGAATACAGCAGCCACTCTCTGTGATACTTTTCACCGTTTCCTAAATGCCTTTCATAATAATACTCGGACAATTTTCGCCCGAAGAGTCACGTGGAAAATTATACTGTTTAATTTGTTTAATTGGATTTTCTATTAAATACTGGATCAAAGTAGCATTGAAAACTTTCGGCCATAGTCCAGGGTTATCTTTGGAAAAAGTTGGTATTTTCATGGTATTTTATTATTGGTCATGGCGGTGACAATGGTGTATCAGGCAGAGGCAAGGACGTAACATCGACGGCATCATCTTAAATTAAAGACAAACAAACAAAGACATACGAGTATAGTTACCGACACGAGTCGTGAGCACAGATAAACTGTGGTGGGAGGTAGGTACAGTACACTGTCGAGCAAAATTTTTGGGTACCTTTATTTCAATTGGTAATTGAATATTTTTGCCGACTTTTATGAAAATGTTTCCTTTTATACAGTAATGTTTTCTTTTATACAAAAATGTAAAAACAGATATTCGTGTCCGTTATTTTATTATCTACTATAAAGTATTTGATGTATACCTGGTGGCTAGAATTGAATATTTTATTAAGAATAAGGAAGAGGTGATATGCCTTCCTTAAAATCTGGTGTTGCCAGTTCATCATCATGACTATCGTCATCGTAATCTTCGTCATCATCCTCATCCTCCAAACTAGACCCAGAGTCATCATTGTCCACTTGAATGATAAACTCTTCCGTTATTTGGTCATTGATGTGGTAGTTTTTTACGTACTTCTTCTCTATATCTTTCACTTTATCGCATAATTTTGCCCATTCACTAGCACCCATTAAATTAATTTTTACTTAATAAGGATTATTATGCTGCTAACATTCCAGTTCACATTTTTTCCGCTAACATAACCATTTATGGCAGCCCAAGCCATCTCAATTAGATTGAGATCTAGATGATATGGAGGTAATCTTAAGACCTCGTGACCGTGTTCAGTCATAATTTTGTCTATATTTAATTTTTTATTCTTTTTCTTTATTAATTTTAATTAGATTATACAGTTCGGGCTTAAGCATTGTTTCCTCATGCTATATACTCATAAGAGAATGTCGTAGTGCTACAAGGCTGCCAATTGTATAAACCGCCGTTGTTATTTTTATTTTACTCAGCAATATTTTTGTGTGCCCAATAAAGATTATATTATTATTATTATACATACCCTTTTCTTTCAACCAAGACAGCATCTCCAACTTCCTGCAATTTGAAGACGGTGCAAAATCGTACTGTTTGTTGTGGTTGGGTGGGTTATCCACTATCAAAACCGATCCAGGGGAAATGTGTTGCGTGCGAAGCCATTTCTCATAATTTGTTGAATTCACACAGTCATTGTAATGCCCCGACTTAGTGCCTGCTTTGAATATAAGTAGAGAATTTGGCACAAAACCTGTTTCTCTTCCTGCATGGACTATCACTATTCGTTGCCCTTTTGATATGGGTTTCTTTAGCCCTTTGGTTGACCCGTCTGACCATACCTAAGACGTTGAATGGGACGAGTCAATATATGACTCGTCCATATAAATAATTTGCCTTCCATCTTCTAGGATATTTTGTATTTTTTTTTAAATAAATTATTCGCTGGAACAAAATAGTCTCATTTTTAACAAATAGGATCTAAAACATTATCAATACTTATTTAAAACTAACTTTAGCATGCAGTTTCACTCACACCATTTCTTACTAACCACCTGCAGCTAAAAAGCGAAACCTTCATGGATGGGGAAGGGAAGGCTACCATATTATATAACCCTCATGTGGCTTAGGGGTTCGTCGAATCAGAAACGATTCAGAAACGCCCACGATCCTCTTTACGCACCTTGCACACACTTTCAATTGACTGATTGTTCAATTGTTTTGGCACTCGCTCCGAGAATCCATCCACCCCGCTTGCATCGCACGCATCGCATCGGGTTACGTTCATGATGCATTCAAACTAACTCACGGCAGTTCTTTTGTGTTTTAACGCTGATCTCGTAACTAATGCCAACTAAAACCCAAAGCGTAAAAGTAAACCACACACGTGAATATTATCTTTGAATACTTGTACAATAAGCGCATTATAATTATATTTTGTTATTTAATAATGTCCTCCAGACCGAATTTCCGTCACGGCGGCCAGCCTCAACGGAAACTAGCCATCGGCGCAAGACAGGATTATATTGCCCAAGTGTATGCGCAAGCACAGGTGCACTCTCTATTCCATCACTCTCATATTCCGATGGGACGGTAACCCGACACGACCGGAGAGAGATCAGGTGCAGGACCAACGACTTTACGTGTCTTCCGAAGCACGGGGGTGATATACCGCCAACTTCCTGACTCCGGGCAGCTATTGAGAATTTATTGACGGAAAAACTCAATAATTAAGTGTAGTAGTCGTTATTAGTAAGTTAATTTTACAAGGCTTATGTTGCGCCTATTGTACCTACTTACTTATCGATACTCCACTACAAAGAATATTTTGTTGTGTAAGTGTAACAAAAATAATTTCGATGGCGGCATTGATTTATATATTACACTAGGTTAGTAATTACCGCGCCAAAGCGTTGCCACTGCACATAATATGTGCGTTCCTGGCAGCGTATTGCCAAACTGTATGCTGAGCCCACAGATTACCTCCTAATAGATTCCGCATACCGGGTCACAAACGCGCGCAACACATACTTGCTGTAGCTAGCATACGAAGTAACGCTAAGAATCACGATATCAGTGTCGACCAAGTTTGTGACCCGTAGGCACGTCCGCGTTTTTGAAAATTTAAAAATAATTTTGTGTCCAAAATACATTACAAATGGCTTCCTATGCTGGGAAATGGTGTGGCAAGTCAGCTAAGACATCTAGTTATCAAAAAGATGGCATAATATTTCATCGGTAAGTAAAATTTATTCTTATCGCGTTAACCTATTTCAAATGCACTGAAGTTCAACTTACACTGGATATATAATCTCGCAAAGTGATATCATTTGAGCACCCGTTGATGTCTTTTTGAAATGTCCCTTTCACTCATTACGTAAATTAAAATAGTTGTCTTTGTCTAACGACAGCACGTGTATCGATAGTGTTGTGATTTTAAGTCGATATTTGTTTGGTCACCGTTTACTTTTTTAAACCAAGCATACCACTGGAAGACTTCAAGATACTGAAAGTTCGTTTTATGTAGATCGGGACCTAAAATCAATATTCAAAAACTGAAGATAACCGGGCTAACTGTGATATTGAGATGTCAAACATCTCAGTCCCCCCTGCCCCCCGTGACCATAAGTTAATTAAACGCGATAAAATCCATATAATTATATAGTTTTATTCAATGTGTAGTGTTCACGTAAATCTATTATATATATATATATATATATATACAGAATGGGTCCCACATATATGCAATAAATGAAACCATATACTTGTTATCGCCTTTGCTGACGATATACAAAAAATGAACGTAATCGGTCCAGTAATTAGGTCAAAAAGTAGAGTTTTAATTTTAAGCAAATTTGAACACTATAGAATTGGGTCACTAAGCCAGTGATTCAATGAACTTGAATCCTTGAACATTAAAAAGCGACGTTGCCACGCAGTGCTAACTATTGGTATTGCGACATATCGACAGCGGTGTCTTTTGTCGGCGTGCCATCCGCGTGCAACGTTGTCACACTTCCAAGGGGTCAAGGTACGTTGTCTAAACAGAGTGTTCACTTTTACTGAATTTATTTTAATATTTATTTTGTTTGAAAATTTCACTTTTTTTATTTTACGGGTTTTAATTTAATATTTAATTTTTCTATACTTCTACGGACTAGTATTACTTGTGGCAGGCAACTAGCATTTATTGCATATATGTGGGACCCATTCTGTATATATATATATATTTTATTTATATACAATGTTTTACTTTTTAATAAATTTCAAATCAAAATTGATCAATTCATTTATTTATCAATAATCAATAAATCCCAAATTTATCGATCAACGTCCTAACCCTGTCCCATCACTATGGTTCGGAGCATTCTAAGTTCAACCTTGAATTATCCAATCACAGCGCATTTGACACGTCCCCGGCAACTCGAAATTTGGTGAAATCGAAACAGAACAAATATTCCATGATGCGGTATCTATTAGGAGGTAATCTGTGGCTGACCCAGACCGGGGTTGCTCTGAGTTCGACCACAGTTTGCCTTTGTAGTTGAAGAGCAAACTGTATACCTATTCAGAGAGGGTCCGAATCAAAATACATTTTGCTTTAAAATACTAGAGCAAAATACATACGAGTCCAGATGTCCAGCGTCTGGTGTAGTATGTAACATGGCATTGATAATTTAGAGCAAAATGCATGCGAGTGCAGACACGTTTTATCTCTTTTGAACCCGTGCGGCGTGCTATCATGCCTGCCTTGTCTTCTAAAACTTGCGCTTGCGATCTTGACTACTTTTTTTCGCCAGTGACCGTAACTTCATTAGCAATGAACGCACGTGTCAAGGTTATTCTTTTACAAATAAAACAAATTATTTGCTAATCGAGTGTTCAATCATGTGTGAAGAAGAATTAAAAACATTCTTGGCGAAGCAGTGTACAGACCTCACGATTTTACAAAGCAATTATGTAAATAAAGAGACATTTAACGCAAAAATTCAGTGCAAACTGCCATCACTGCAGAACGATTCGCCGCGCGAACAGTGCAAACGTTTTATTCAACAATTCTCTAAGTTATCAAATACAAACTGGATTGTAAAGTGAAGTCCTACTGTTAAGCGATATGAATTTCGTAAACAGTATAGTTGTCAGCATTCATCATTCAATAAAAATCAAGGTAAAACAAGAAATTTTCAATGCAAAGCTTCAATAAACTTCTTATTTGAGAAAACTAACAGAAATACAATAAAAAACGACGCATTTTTGAAACAAGGATTGAACATTATTATTGATATTTGTTTTACCCATTCGCATAGAATCCACGTTGCGTCTGCTTACAAGTATTTACAGCCGTGCAAAAACAGTTCCACGAATACTACAAGCAAGGTAAGACCCCCACCATTGCGAAGCACCATCATGAGACGATCATGTTACGAGGGTGGATTGAAAAGTACTCGGCCTAACCAAGAAAATAAACACGTACTAAATCAGTTATATTTTTATTTTTCTACATAATTACCATCAAGTTCAATACACTTTTGCCACCTCCCCTTCCAAGCGTTTAGACCTTTGAAAAAAAATGATTCTTCCTTAGAGTCAAAATATGCGTCTACAGCTGTTTTGACCTCGTCGTTTGTCTAAAATCTTTGACCTCCCAAGTGCTTTTTTAGGTTAGGGAACAGCAAGAAGTCTGATGGTGCCAGATCAGGTGAATACGGCGGATGCGGTAACAGTTCAAAGCCACAGTTGTGAATTTCAGCCATTGACTGTACTGACGTGTGAACACGGGCGTTATCTTGATGAAACAGGACTTTTCTTCTGAGCATTCCTCGACGTTTTTCTTTTATTTCCTCTCGTAAACGACGTAGTAAGGTGCAGTAGTAATCAGAGTTTATAGTCTGACCCCTTTCAAGATAATCAATCATAATCACACCTTTCGAGTCCCAGAATACTGAAGCCATCACCTTATTTGCCGACAAAATCGACTTAGCCTTTTTAGGGGGTGGTGAACCAGGTTTTCTCCACTGTTTTGATTGTTGTTTTGTTTCCGGTGTACAGTAATGAACCCATGTTTCGTCCATAGTAACAAAACGATTCAAAAAATCATCTGCATCGGCTTCAAATAACTCCAAACAGTCGCGTGAAATAGTCAATCGCGTCCTTTTTTGTTCAACTGAAAGCAGTCGCGGAACCCACCTCGCTGACACCTTGTGGAAACCCAACTCGTTGACAATGATGTTTTGAGTTCGTTCATAAGAGATGCCTATAATCTCGGCTATCTCTCTAATTTTTAATCTGCGGTCTCCCATTATTAAATCAAGTACTTTTTTAATATTTTCGTCAGTAGTTGACGTCGAAGGCCTTCCAGAGCGGGGTTCATCTTTCACACTCTCTCTACCACGCTTAAATTCTGCTATCCATTTTTTGACGGATGAATATGACAGAGCACAATCGCCTAATGTACTGACCATGTCATCATGGATGGCTTTTGATGATAGCCCCTTCTTATGGAGGTACTGAATGACGGCACGCTGCTCGATTTGCTCCATTCGCGGAAATTATGTCCGATTACTTTGTTAATAAATTTATAAAATCACAACTAATTATCGCACACGTTTCGAACTTCACACAATGAACTAGTCTGAACTGAACTAAATAATGTTGGTAGATTTCATTTTTAGAATTGAATGGATCTGTGTTAGGCCGAGTACTTTTCAATCCACCCTCGTAAATTCTGAAGGTAGTCAAGCTGTCGCTAATGCTCAAAAAATCCTACATATCGTCATATTAGATATTTATACGATAAATGGCGTAAACAAATTTGGGCGGACGTTCAGATCGCGATGTAATTACCGTCTTGAAATACCAATTGGCTTCCTTTACTGATAAAGGAATTCATGTACTGATTAAAGAAGATCCTATGGTGGTCGTCATAATAACTCCAATTATGAAGAGATTATTTTTAAAAGGATTCTCCGATGAAATGGTGTACATAGATTCGAGTGATTCCTGTGACCAGACTTCAACGCGAGTGACATTCATATTTGCATCTCTAAAAATTGGTGCAGTTCCCATAGGTTGTGTTTTACACACTGCTGATACGGAAGCCAACTATACTCTTGCCTTTATGTCTGTTAGGGAAACTTTAGAAAACGATTCAGCTAGAAAATTTCAACCACTTATTATAATGACCGACGACAGCGAAGCGGAACGTAATGCTCTAAAATGTGTGTTCCCTCAAGCAAATTTATTACTCTGTCACTTTCATGTCTGTCAAGCAGTTTGGCGATGGCTATGACTTTCTGAACATAAAGTTGAAAAAGAAAATAGAAAAGTTATGATGAAAGCTTTTCAAAATGTATTTTATGCTGAAAGTGAAGAACCGGCATCCGAAAACTTTGCTATATTTATACAAACACCTATTTTTAAAGCAAATACTTACTATGCTGACTGAATATTTGTCCAATATATGGGCCAGACGAAAAGAATGGTGCCTGTGTTACAGAAATGACTTGATGACTAGAGGTAACAACACAAACAATTATGTGGAAGCCTCTATCCGAATATTCAAGGATATAGTGTTGCAAAGATCGAAGGTTTTCAACAGTTGCGCTCTGGTAAAGTTTATAACGGAAAGTTTTATATATATATATATATATATATATATATATATATATATATATATATATATTTAAATTTAATATATATTTTATATATATAAATTTTCGTTAATATATTTATTTTTTGTAGTAAATTATATTTAATTTAAAATCGCTTATCTTTTATTTCATGAACTATGCTGGCAATACTTGGTATTTTACGAAAATATTCAGAAAATACGAGTTTTAACGATAATATTATGTTAAAAGTATTCACAGATGAAAAGTTACGTTGTCCTTTTGTAGATTTGACGGTTTTGATTGTTTTTTGGATGAAAATACACTTTTTTTTTGCGCCCGAAGCAATTAAAGGGCTACCCTATACGTAGGGAGGCGGAAAATGCATTACGCATACCACGATAGCTGGTCTATCGTTCACTGTCCTACCGGGGACCCTAAGTGATACCCTCTAAAAACCGCCTTTGGGGACAGGCAGCCAGCTGATCAAGCTGTATTGTGCCTTAACATGAGCGACCCTCTTTTGGGAAAAGAGGGCGCAGGCGGCTAAGTGCCGCTGAGGGAGTGCCTACGAAGGCAAGTTAATGTTAGTTATTACAATAATTTAATTTAATTAGAGTTGGCCTGAGCCGCCAGGAGACAGTTCAGGTCGTTTGACAGTTTATTAGGCGGGTCCGAGAGAGAGTTTCTCGGCCTGCGGACACGATAGCGAGAGGGGGGTGGGGCTGCATAAGAAGCTGCCTCACGAATTAAATGGTTTGGGTGCGACTCTGAGGCTTTGAAGAAGTTCTCAGAGAGTTTTTTAAAAAATTGTTGAATTGTTGGGAGCTCTAAGTCCCGATGAAGGTCGGCATTACGGACGTACCAAGGTGCGTTCGCAGCTCGACGACAGAAGAGGTTCTGAACTATTTGGAGTTCATTTAAAATATTAGGGTTTGCGTGGGCAAAGACGGGGCCCGCGTAGGACATGACTGGTCGTATACAGACCTTGTAAAGGGTACGCTTGTTTCGAAGGGACATTTTACTGTGTCGGCCCAACATACTGTTGAGCCTACTCAGATAAAATCGTGCGTGACGGGTTACTCTTTTGACGTGGGGCTTGAAAGTGAGCCCTGTGTCTAGAGTGACACCTAAATATTTGGCGGACGTATGCCAGGGGACAGGGGTCCCTAGCATACGTATTGGTGGAGTGTTTTTGAGACGGCGTCGTTTATAATCGAAGTGAACGGCGGAGCTCTTCTCCGGGTTCACATCGATGCGCCATTTTTTGAACCAAGCTCCTAGGTCATCAACTGACTTTTGGATCTTGTTCCGTATGAAGGGTAGTGAGACACCTTTGCAGTAGATGGCAGTGTCGTCTGCGAAGAGGGAGAGTTGAACACCTTTCGACGGGATGGGAATGTCGTTGGTGAACAGGATGTACAGCAGAGGAGCAAGTACTGAGCCCTGAGGGACACCAGCCTTGATTGTTCGCTGTGAAGAAAGCGTGCCTTCGTGTCTAAAACGAAAGGTACGATGTTTTAAATAGGAGGCCACGAGACGAACTAGACGATCGGGGAGACCTATTTTGTAGAGCTTGTAGATGAGGCCTGTGTGCCAGACTCTATCGAAAGCTTTGGCTATGTCGAAAAAGACCGCGATGGTCTTATGACGACGAGGATAGAAACCGCTGAGGACATATTCCACAATGCGGTGAACTTGTTGGGGACATGAGTGTTTAGCTCGGAAACCGAATTGATGGGGAATGATAAGAGGGTCGCCGTCTGTGGGAAACAGATAGCGCCTCATACGCGTTTGGATGACTCTTTCGAAGAGCTTGCCCATTGCCTTAAGGAGGCTAATGGGGCGATGGCTGGAGGGGAGGTTGAGAGGCTTGCCTGGCTTGGGAATTCCAATCACAGTAGCCTCTTTCCACGTAGTGGAGAAATAACTGAGGTTGAAGCAGGCGTTGAAGATAATAGATAAAAAGGTTAACACCTGCTCAGGAAAGTGTTTTAGGGCTTGGTTGGAGATGCCATCCGCGCCCGGAGCCTTTTTGGGCTTAAGTCCTTTGATGAGGGATGAAATCTCATCATTGGACACAGAGATAGGTTCGGAGGCCGTAGGGGGTGAGTTCCGGCGGCGGACCTCATCCTCCACTGCCTGGACGTGAGAGGGGTCGACGGGTTGAGAACTAGGAGAGCATTGAGCGGCAATGCTATCTGCAAAGCACTCAGCCTTTTCCTCGTCCTCGAAGGCAACCGTGCCGTCGGGACGGGAGAGAGGGGGGAGTGTGGGTGATAGCGTCTATGCGGAGGGCTCTAGCCATCTGATAGTACGCTGTGTGAGATGGAGAGATATTCTCCATGAGCTTACTCTTTTCGAGGTCTCGAAATTCAGAGAGGCGGAAGCGGAGTTCTCGTTGAAGACGATTGGCCGCGCGCCTATATTCGGGGGTGGGATATTTTGCTGCTCTCCGGAAAGCAGCTTTTTTGGCTTTTAACAGGTTGCTAATATGTAGGGGAAGCCCACTATTGTTAGCAACCGGGACGACCCTTTCGTTCTCCTTAAGGGAGGATTTAATAAGGGTGGAGAGTGAATCGACCGCGGTGTCGATTTTTTCGGGACTATCTAAGTCCGACGGTAGGGAGATGGTAGAGTCCTGTGAGTCCAAAGCTTTAGCTAGGGACTCCTTGAATCCCTTCCAGTTAGTGAAGGTTTTCGTGTGTGTTGGGGGAGGTGGCTGATGGCCAAGAATGAGGGAGACCGGTCGGTGATCTGATCCTAGATCGTCTAGTGTCTCGATTGCTCTGAGGTTGAGAGAAACTCCTTGGAGTAACGCAAAATCTAACACATCGGGGGCGTGATCGGTGTTATCGGGAAAGTGAGTAACACCGAGAGGACTATGGACGGTAATATCAAGAGACTGCGTGATATCGAGCAGTATCTTGCCACTAGGGGACGTAGTGCGGCATGTCCATTCAGTATGCTTGGAGTTAAAATCTCCAAACATAATGACTGAATTGCCTAAAGATAAAATGGCCTCAAAATCTTTTTTGAGGGGATAGGTTCCTGAAGGGATGTAACAGGAGGCTATGAGGATGGACTGATGTCCATTCATAGCTAGCCTGCATACCGTAGCTTCCATGTTGGTAAGCTGCGGAGTAGAAATGGGCGAGCAATGAAGTGTCTTCTTGTAATAGATGGGCGTTCCGCCGCCTCGGCGGTCAGGTCTGTCGTTACGAAGAAGAGAGAAGTTTTTAATAGAAAGGCCTCTAGTGTCCTTAGCTTTGAGATTAGTTTCCTGTAGGAGGAGGAAATCGACTTCACGATTCCGAAGAAAGAGCTTAAGCTCTGGGAGGTTATTTCGCAAGCCGCGAATATTAAATGATACAAGCGATAAACCCTTAGGTTTGATACGACCGTGAGATTTAGGTAAAGCGATTTGCTCAGTCATTGAAGTTAAGTTAATTAAGTTAACTTAACTTACAACGCTAATAGAAGATTGTTGTGTTCAGCAAGAACGAGGAGACGTTCTTGGGGGGACTTCGCCGCGCGCAGTTTGCGTGCTACTACGGTGATTTCCCTAACATCGATATTCCTAATAGCGGAATATAGTGTGTTGTAGTCGTCAGGTGTGGGCTCTGCTTCATGTGCGTACGAGGTTGTCCGCGGTGGGTCTGCCTTTTTTGGACCCCCAGGGAAAGACTGGAGGCTGCATTGGCTTGGAGAAGCCCGGAGGGTGCCGAATTATGCCCTGAGGGGGGCCTAGGGGGACCCTGAGAGGGTCGAGAGAAGCCCTGGATGGGCTGAGAAAGGCCCTGACGGGGCCGTTGTTGGAGGGCCGGGAATGAGCGGTCATTTACCGGCGGTGGAGCTTGCCGACTGGGGCGAGGTTGAGGTGCGCGCGGGCAACCTCTGTAGTTAGCCGGATGTCCTGTCTGTTTGCACAGGACACAAGCCGGCGGGGATTCGGCTTCTTTGGGCCGGGGACACTCTTTCGTGTTATGGGGTTCGAGCCACTTTACGCACCTGGGTGGGGCGGAGCAGTTGGCCGCCGCGTGACCATAAAGTTGGCAGCGGTGGCACTGCGCCGGGAAACCGCGCCTATGTGGGGGCTCGACCTTCACCCTCGACAGGCCGCACACTGTGCGTACCTGCCGGAAGATGGCTGTAGCCTCCGGCACGTTGGAAAGGATGATTAGGGCCAAGTTAAATCTTTTGCCCGTCCTACTGTGCATTTTGTGCACGGCTTCGACGGGAAAGCCTTGGGACTTAAGGTCCTCAAGTATTTCCTCGTTCGAGAACTCGAAGGGGACGCCTCGGATGACGGCCCTGACTTTACGCTCTTCCGGGAGAGCGTAAGTGTGGTAGGAGACTCGTTCGGCTGTGAAAAGCCTGGTGAGTTTTCGGAAATCCTCGATCGAGCTGGGGATGATTTTGATAGCCTCCCCGAGGTTGACGGCATTGTCGTACTTAATTCCTGCGTCGTAGCAGGTTTTCGACAGTTTGGTGAATTTGGCCTTGTCTCTTAGGAAGACAGGGGGCGGGACTTGCTTCTTAGCAAGGACTGGAGCACATCGAGAGGATGGTTTAGATGGGGTTGGGATGTCAAGGGACATAAGCGGGATGGCGGCAGCGGCGGGGGCTGCGGAAGTTGGAGGAGCGGCAGGGGCCGCTGAGATAGGCGGGGTGCGTTTTATCGCGGCGCGCTTTCCGTTGCGCTTGGAGTTGACGGCAGTGAATGTGGACTCCCCGGTTCCGTCGGAGTCAGAGGACTCCGATGAACCGGAGCCTGAAGTAGTGGCGCGCCTCTTCCGGGAGGACGGCGCCGAGGACTCGGAGCATGCGTACTCCATTTCTAAGGGGGCAGATTCAAGGGGGGCAAAGGAGTTCCTCGTTTCGAGGTAAGACGCGATTACCGGCGGCGGAAGGTGTGCCTGAGGGGCAGGGAGGGGAGCCTGGGCGGCGATGGTGGCGATGGCGGCGAGGACCGTCTCATTGCCGTTTAAACCGTATTGGTTTAGGAGGGCGGCGAGGGACTCAGCGAAGCTGGGTGTGGCCATTTTGGGGCAGTAAGCTAAACTTGGTAAAGATGAGGACGGGTTCCTGTTCTCTGTAGAACAGGGACTAGATCGCGACACACTATACACGTAATAATAATGCAAGAATAACAAGAAAAACAAGAAAATAAAGGAGACAGAAAAAAAAAAGATAAATGATAATGAAAATGAAATGAAAAGTGAAAATGAAAATGAAAAGCGGAGGTCAGTCAGACCTCCCTGCCCGAAGACAGGGGGGCAAGAACTGTAGCGTGAAGTGACTCACCGGCAGCCTCGACGCTGTTCCGCGTGAGCAGGACAGCGGAGGCGCGTGAGAGCGTGACAGCACTACCGTACTGTACGGGAGCGCGGACCACCTGGAGGCGACCGTCCGAGAACGATGCCGCCGGCGGACTGAGCACTGCGTCGGCGCCAGTGTTACCAGATGAGACAAATGATATTACAGTGTTTCATGCTCAAATTTACAGTGTTTACGACAAAATTACAGTAAAAGTAATAAAAAATACAGTGAATTTTACAGTAGATTTCAAGAAACTTTTATTATCTATTATAAACTAAAATACTGTTTTAATTTCACCTTTTGTAATTTAGAATAAGCATAATACCTATATATAATTATACATTAATCAATCACTGTCACTATCATGTAGCCCGATATTCGCTTCTTTTTTGTAGATCCCAGAATTAAATGATTTTATCATTTTCTCAGTTGGTTTAAAGTTAACGCAACTGGTGCTGTGATGCCGAATGGTTTGTTGCGCTAACATGTTGCCTCTTATTGTCCTGGTTATTAATTTATTTCGTTTCTTGGTTTTGGTGTCGTTAATTTGACTGAAAATTCTCTCGCATTCCGCATTGGAGTTAGGAAGAGCCAAGATGTTGAGCATGTATTTTCCAATCAAGCGGAACTCGTCCTACTGTTTCACCTGAAAAGCAACATTAGTATTAAAAATATTGTATTTTGCAAACGAAAGAAATATATTTCTAAAAAAAAAAAACATAGAGTCTTAGTTACTAACCTTGTGCCAGAATTCATCAGGCCGTATTGCAGCATCGAAATTTCCTTTTAACTTTGGCAATTTTCTCCATTGGTCATCCAAAGCTTGTTGTTCTATCATAGAAGTTGATGTCAATCTTGGCATTAAGCTTAGTATATATTGAATTGATTCATCGCGATCTGAGATATCGAGACATGTCTCAGGATCCAATTTGGATATCCCAACCAATACTGGATCATTTAGCGCGAATCTTTTGCGGATGCCTACGCACGCTTTAATCAAAAAATTTCGGCATTTCTTTTTGAAATCCTTTTTTTTCTCTGCTGCTATTTCATTTGTTGAAAACTGTTTAGATACTCCCAAGCCCAGGTAGATGTCATCCAAATTTTTGAAATTGTTTTCGTCAGTTGGGTCAATTTTTTCTAGTTCAGTGTTTGCAATGTGTGCCGTTGTCATATATGTCGATAAAAGTTCGTGAAAGAGATCGTTCATTTTAGTGTTAAGTTTTGTGATCATTGGAGTCTCACTCTGAAATAGCGTATTAGTTTCAGTAAATTTAGGTAACATCCAGTTTAAAAAGAAAAAGTATGATTTTGCTATGGGATCATTCAACTGCATATGGATTTCGGAACATTCGTTGTCTTCAAGCCATCTTCCATCAAAAAACAGTGTTAGTGCATTGCACTGTTCTAAAATTATTTGCACTACAGCACTTAGTGATAACCATCTCGTTTGAGCCGGTTTCAAAATTTTGTGTATATCTGTTTCTGTGAATACTTGAAACTCTTTTAATAGAGATTGTCTTTTGCTACTGGTCGCAAAATAATTGTAAATATCACGTGTTAGCTTTTCACATTCAGCTGGTAACTGTTTGCATGCGTCACTCGCACAAAGATGCAGGGAATGACAAACACATTTAAAAACGATAATTCCGGGACATTTTGCTCTAAATCGACTCGAAACAGAGTTGTGACACCCCATCATAGTATTACACCCGTCTGATCCAAATCCTATAATATTTTCAATAGGAATAGAATTTTCCTCGAAGGATTTTATTACTGCTTCGAAAAGATGTTGTGCTGTGGCGGTAGCTACCGGAGCAGAGTTTTCCTCGCCATGTATTTGAATTAGGTCCCAAAATCTGCTAACAATTTGACCTTTTTAGTGCACAGTAATATCTGACCACAACACACATAGTTTTTACTGCTCCGATATCAGTGCTTTCATCAATCATGAGAGAGAATTTTTGCTCCTTTAGATCTGCACACAAATCTTGTTTTTCCGATTCTCCTAGAATATTGTTTATTATTGCTTGACATTTTGTTCTCTTCATTTTCATATTTTTTGCAATCTGAGAGTCAGGAAACATAGTAGGCAATAAATCAACTAAGTGGTCCATCACCCTCATGGATATTTTATGCTCTGCCATAAAAGCGGCCAACTTTATCTCAGATGCTTTGCATTTATCATCATCGGACTGCTTAACCTTTTCAAATGCAGTAGCAATCGAAGATTGAGCTGGCGCTGCTGTAGTTCTTTTTACATGCTTAGCACCTTCACCATGTATTTTTATCACTACTCTGTCAGCTATCAATTTTGCATCACACATAACACAAACTGCACGATATGGGTCTTTTGGGTCACGTTTCAGCCAAGTTTTGAAACTATTGTCTTTTAACCACTCGTCTCTGAATTTTTGTTTATAATGTATCTTTTTTGCTTTTTTTGGAGTTGATGGTCCGCTTTGATCACTATCATCAGATGAATTATTCATTTTAAATTCTCAAGTCCTTAAACAAAACAACTACTTGCACCAGTTTCACAGAAAGACTTGAAAGAGTCAAATAAAAACGTAATGCATTGCATGCGAAACCAATTTACAATCATACTAATTTAAGTTAGTCCCAATATGCTTGAAAATAAAATTAAAACACGGTTGACACAATTTGGGTGGTTAATACTAAGTAGTGGTTTTTAGTCTATGACGGGAAATTCATCCACCGCCGCCGCTAATCATGCCCGTTTAAAGTAAGAGATATTCGTTCTTATTACATATTATGCAGAGAGGTGGCGCGGGCTCTAGTAGCCAGTTGCGTTTTGTTATGTTCATGTTATTTTTTCTTTTCACAAAGGCTGCGTTCAGTTTACATTAAACTATTTTGATTTTTGCCTGTAGAAAATTACAGTGCTCTCCATACACTGTAATTTTAGTATTACAGTAGACAGTAGATCGTGTGAAAATACAGTAAATCTGCTGTAATTACAGTGTATCTGGCAACGCTGGTCGGCGCTGTACAGCGCGAGCGGGACAGCGGGGGCGCGAGAGCGGGAGAGCACTACCGTACAGGAACGAAAGCGCGGACTGCCTGAATGCGACCGCTCGGAAGCGATGCCACAGGCGTAATGAAAATACACTTCAATTCGGCGTTTTTATCGGAGCTCAATTGACTGGCACGTTCACTTGAGTAATGGCGCGCGACGCGGAACAACTTGTTTTATATAACGGCTATGAGTCAGACTCTCGTACCTTTTACAGAGGGGTATGCCTTGGGATGCCGTTTCTTTTGGTTCAATATCTACTCATATATTAATTTCCTCTATGATCTACTCAAAGTTATAAATTCATCGCGTAAACATACCAATGTAACTTTCATCAGCCTTGCCATCAGAACACTATTACTCCGATAGGAGTAATAGTGTTCTGTGCTTGCCATGCTGGCAAGTGGCAACACTAAATCAAATGTCATATGTAACCACAAAAAAGTAACGATACAATTTTTATTGTAATAATTTATATAAATACAGATTTTATTTTTGTGCTGTAATTAAATCAAACTCATTGGATGTCGGATGTTATGATGTTAAGAACTGCGACACGTTTAACTCCATCTTTTATTATTCCGCTCTTTTGGGAAACGAAACGAAAATGATTATGATTCACTTCATCAACCCGCGCCTGATACACTGCAAAACGGTCTGGAAAGAGTAAAAAAGATGTATTCAAGAAAGTAAGTAAATGTTAACAATTATAACTTCTATGTTTGTAATTATTATTTTACTTACCAATATTTCCTATCCAATGAGCACGCAGTCATTATTAACTTCGCCTAATTTCCTGGTTGATATAAACTCTGGCACAACTTTAGAAAACCTATAATCTATATTTAATGGATTTGTGACTAGCGTTGCCAGGCGTCCGGTTAAAGCCGGACAGTCAAGCTTTTTGGTTGCATGTCCGGATAAATTAGATAGTGTGCAGTCTGACTTTTCTTAGGCTTTTGTTGGGCTATCCGGCTTTATATTTGACCATTTTGTACATTTTTCATGTACTTAATATTTGAAAGCAGCTGTTTGAGAGATTTAAATGCATCCCATCTCTGTAGAGTAATGTATTAAAAATTAATGACAAAATTGAGGTGAAATATTTGAATTAGATGTTTTAATCCATCACAAGCCATTTAAAAGGATGTTTAAGATTTATTGAAGCATCATATACTCTACACTAAGAGATAACACATATGACATCAATTTATGTAAATTAGAAAACAACGGATTTCCTTTTTACTACTTGAGTGTAAGGCATACATATTGAAAGTTTCTTAGGAGAGTCCTTTACATTAGATATTTCTAGAAAAATAAAATAATATTAAAACTTCTGTCTTTAAAAGTGAGTAAAAAAATAGTTAATATTATTATTGAATGCTGCACGACAATATTGAGAAGTTAATGAAACAAAATCCTTATTTGTAATAACTAAGTAGTGAGAAAGGTCTCTAAAAGCAACACTTGACCACTTGTGAGCCTGTGACTGCTATCAATCCCCAGTCTAATGTTGTTCAACAGGCCAGAATCTACTTAAAAAATTCTTAAAAATATTGTTATACTTACTTTAGCCTAGCCTTGACCATTATTATTTATTTTATTTCTCCTAATTAGCTAACAGTGCCCATTTCCTCTGCTTCATATGATGCTTAATTGTGTTATGTTATGTATATTTCAAACTCCTTATAGTTATACCCAAATTGAAAGGTCTATTAGTAATTCACATCACACATACTTAAAAAGTAATTCACCTTGAAACTTAAAAAGAGTTCTTCGAAAATTGATCTTTGTTTACTTTGTTTCATGATCCTGATAACAGTTTTTTCTGACAACAAAAAAAAAATGAGGCAAAGGCAGGCTCCTACATGGCTATACGGCATATATAATTAATTAAAACTTCGCAAATATAGCGTTTTTTAATAACAACTGTATGAAAAGATGTTATGTTTGATTATACGTTGTGGTATGGTGTGTTGTGTGGTTTATTATGACTTTTACCGGGTTAATGATAAATAAAACATGCCTGTTGTTAAGAGTAACTTAAGTAACTTAAGATTAAGTAAGTACTTAAGTATTGATAATATTGTAATATCCTACTAATATTATAAATGCGAAAGTTTGTAAGTATGGATGGATGGATAGATGTTTGTTACTCTTTCACGTAAAAATTACTGATCAGATTTAGATGAAATGTTACAGTAGTATAGTTTATACATCAGAATAATACATTGGATACAATTTATAAAGATTTTGTGTAATTTGGCCATGATATAACGATAAGTATCAAGTAAGTCGGAAAAATTCCTGCCCTCTGAGAGCTATCTTTGTGAGCGCTGCCTAAACTGTTGGAGTTACATGATGATAATATACCGTGGGATTGTTTGTCTTAAGTAGTTCGAAATAAAAGTCTGTGACAGCATATATCTACCTTTTATGTGGAAGCCATTATATCCAAAATAGTGAGCATAAATACAATTAAATTTGTCACTTACAATGCACATTTTAGAGTATTCATCAAATTATTATCAAAATTGATACATTTGTCGCTTTCAATATTTAATGTAGATGAACTTTGTCTTTTACACAAAATAATTTGGACAAACACGATAAGATTGACATGAATGGAGCACCAGCGCAAAGCGGGGGTGGAGGGGCGGTTCAAGCCATGACACGCGATCGCCGAGTGCGCGACCCGAACGCGGATAGACGCGGAGGGCAGACGTCGTTGACGGTTATGTTCAGTTTACGTCCTTTCTTACAGCTAATTTGATTCTCGAAGAGATTTATTATTTAGTACAGTAGGTAGGCATAATAATTATTTTAAAGATTATTTATGTGATAATTTTAATGTCATAATGTTAGTTCTTTTTTACGCCGCACTAGTCATATAATAAATGTTTCTCTTTTTGATTTCCATTAAACAGTAATCTTTACAAAGTGTCTAAAGTGGATGAATAGTTAAATATTTTATTTTTCGAGCTATTAAAGTTCCGCTGACTACAACTAGTAGGAGCTGATTGCAATAGGTTAAATGAGGTAAAAATAGGTGTAGTTAAGTCAGAATATTTGTTAAAGTAACTATGACTTCTGTAAACTTTGTCAAAAATACAAAAGCATCTATTACCATTTATAATCCAAAAAGTTTGTGTAATTCTGAGTAAACCCAGTTTTTTAGTTTTTGCGGTATTACCAACAAACGAATATAATAACTAAGCTTAACTAGCCATAATTGTTTGTACCTATTTGTATCCAGCCAAATTTGTTTGTATTTTAAGTAAAAAAAACTAAACGAATTATTTTTCTACCTCTTCTTGTCTCCTGCCTTATTCAACAACAGGATACTAAGAATTACTTACCAGTATGTATTCAATTAATATAAAAGCGATTTATTTTTTCTAAAAAACTATGATGTTCCACATTTTTCCGTCACATGGATTCAACTAAATCCCTGCAAAATCAATTGCAGGTTTTGTACATACCTTCCTAAACTCTTGGTATGACTATGGTCTTAGTATAGGTACAAAAACATAAAATACATATTTAAATTATTATGTAATGTCAATAATAGACTAATAAATATGCATTATGGTTGTGGCAAAAACAATCATCATCTCCTTTCTGTCAGTTCCATAGGAAGTGATTGAGGAAAATATTCAAGATATTTTCATGGTTCACGATTTTCTAAATGCTAAAAGATTATTGTAAAATACCCAGGACATAGTCAAAATTGGGAGTGTGTCAATGATGGTTTCATATCTTTTTTGAAGGACATACAGATTTACAAACTATATACCTCTATCTAACTCTAACTTAACTACATATCTATAGTGCCATATGTTCCTCCAAAACTCAATATATGGTAAATATAGAATAGGACAGGAGAACCTTAGGGGTCAATAGTTGGCTGGATTTATGTAGGAGGGAACTTTTGTGGTGAACTCCTTCCAGAAGCGGCTCCAGAGAAAGGACCTGGATCCAACACTACAGTTAAAAAAATGTGATTACCTTCATTACGGCAAAAGTAACTCGCTTGTAAATGTGGTCAGAGCTAAGTTTTTCAAGTAGCAGAATTCAAAAAAATTCGATTTTTTCAATATTCCAAAATATCTGATTTTTTCGATTTTCTAAGAAGTTAGATTCCATCTTTCGTGTTGGCGCTACTTTGGCGGCGTAGAGAAGAAGTATGGTTGTCTTGTTGTTCAAGAAAGGCGTGTGTCCTATTGAAAAACTACACTGATTTCCCTTCTGAGCCGCGTTTCATTTTGCATACAGACTTGACGGCTTACAACCTTCCTTATAAGCCGGTTTCCGAAGAGGCTTTAGTACCATAGACCACATAGACACCCACCCTCCAGCAAATTGTACAGAAGACCGAAAAATACAATTAGCCACTTTGTCTTGCATATGTGGACTATGAGATAGCCTTTGATTCAATCGAAATTAATGTGATGGTAATGGTTCCTTCAGCAGTGCGAACACTTGACAGTCGTTATATCGAAGTGCTCAAGTGTCTGTACAGTAGGGCTACTATGACAGGGCTATAGTACGAAACCTATCTAATTGCAGAGGTGTAAGACAGGTTGATGTTATATACCCAAAACTTACTTAAAATCTACAATGGAAAACATTTTCAAGTTATTGGTCTGGAAAGGAAATAGTATCAGCATCAATGGTGAATACATTACTTACCTTCGATTAACCAACAATATAGTTATTATAGCAGAATCCCTGGAGAACTTTAGTACTATGCTTAATGACCTAAATAATATCTCCTAATGGATCGGTCTTAAGATTAAAGCAAGTTAAAATGCAAAATGTCTGCTACATCTCTTTCTTATTTTGTTTTTAATGTATTTTTCAGTGAATATGAAGAGGTTTCAGTTGAACTCCATAATGTGGTACAAACATCACTATGTGGTGTATTTGTTGGTGCATGCATTGGGGGGTTTTGTAAAGTCAAGAGATGCTTATTTATACTTTATAGAAAGTAACCAGGCTACTGCATTTAAATCAACAATGCAAGCAAAGGTACTCTTTTTGATAAATAATCAATAATTTTATGTTATATATACATATGTAAAGAAGCAGTCTACATAATATATTATTATATATTATATACTACTGGGTATAGGATTCCTCATTTTTGAAAGGTCAAAAGTTATCAAAATATATTCTGTCATGGGGATTATGGAAGTGACTACTATTAACTACAAAAATATGTAACAAATAAAGCTTAGGTTAATATATAACAGGTGTTTGTGAAACGCTCCCGAAAACGAAGACAGACGATAGATAGTACTAACGATACCTTTGATAATGGGACCAAATGGAAATCGATTCCGATAAAGAAAAAAAAACAATTTTTTACAACGTTTAATTAGTTTTATTCACGCTCGATCATGTTAGTACATCTAAACAAAAAAAAAACAACAAAAAAAATCATGAACATACTTAAACATAAAACCAGCAGTAAAATTTCAAATACCTAACATCAGCTGATGAGGGGTTAATATACGCGCGACGCCGAATACGCGCGGCTCGCAGCCCGCCGCTACCACAGCGAGGCGACACGAGTCGGCCGAGCGGCCTCAGCGTGTGGGTGAAAGAGAAGGGTAGAGTGAGCGAAATACAGTAATACCGTAAACAGTAATACAGAAATACAGTAAACATTAATCAGGAAACTTCAACACTACGGTGTAAGAAATGATGCTCTTAAATTAATTATTTCATATTTAAGTGACAGAACACAAAAAGTTGTTATTAATAGTATGAGTTCTTCTGGGTCGATTGTACAAATGGGCGTGCCTCAGGGCTCAATTCTTGGCCCCTTTCTGTTTCTTGTATATATTAATGACTTACCTTACATAGTAGGGGATAACCATGATATAGTATTATTTGCTGATGATACTTCATTAATTTTCAAATTAAAAAGACAGTTATTAAATTACGACGAAGTAAATAATGCTATAGCTAAGTTATTCAATTGGTTTAATGTTAATAATTTGCATTTGAATGGAACTAAAACTAAATGTATGAAATTCGTAACTCCTAATGTTAAACATGTCAATACTAATGTAATTTTAAATGGGGAGGAACTGAGTCTTGTTGATACCACCATTTTTCTTGGAATCACACTGGACGCAAAGCTTCAATGGCTCCCCCCATATATCAAAACTAGCTAGCAGACTTAGTTCTGCAGCATATGCTGTAAAAAAGATTAGAACTCTTACCAGTGTTGAAACAGCTAGAATAGTTTACTTCAGTTATTTCCATAGCATTATGTCGTATGGTATTTTGCTATGGGGACACGCGACTGACACTGAAATTATATTTATTTTACAGAAGAGGGCCATTAGAGCAATATATAATTTAAAACCAAAAGAGTCACTGAGACAAAAATTTAAAGAAATTAATATATTAACTCTGGCCTCTCAATACATTTATGAAAATGTAATGTACGTACACAAAAATAAAAGTAGTTTTGCGAAAATAAGTGATATTCATTCTGTAAATACTAGGAACAGACACAAGCTGGTAGTACCAGTTACTCGACTCCACCGAGTCAGTAATTCATTCTTGGGGCGATGTATACGCTTTTACAACAAAATCCCAGAAAATATACAAAATTTGTCATACACAAAGTTCAAAAATGTTATTAAACTAAGTTTGTATAAAAAGGGTTATTATAATATTAAGGAATTTATAGATGATAATAACCCCTGGGAAGGGTGATCGCTACCAAGCTATTTCTAATTTGTCTTGTGTTGTTGATTGTAAACATGATTGTAAGCTATTATTGGAAAAAAATAGTCCCGCTGGGTTTCTCGCTGGTTCTTCCCAGGACAGAGGTTTTTTTTGCGAACCAGTGGTAAATTAAAAAAAGTGACCTTCAATAAGTATTTTTATAATCTACATTGAATAAAAAAGTTTCTATTTCTATTTCTATTTCCTAATGCATTCTTTCGTACGGAGCTGGATAAAAGAGTTCAGCGTCTGTGCCTTTATTGACACTATAATCAGCTGGTACCATTTTAATTTTCACTGCTGGTTTTACTTTTCAGTATTTTCATGATTTTTTTTATGAAATTATTGTTTCATTTGGCTGTACTAACATGATGGAGCGTGAATAAAGCTAATAAAACGTTGTGAAAAGATGAGTTTTTTTTCATTGGGATCCATTTTCTTTTGCTCCAAGTCCAAAGGTATCATTGATACTATCGTCTGTCTTCGTTTTCGGGAGTGTTTCAAAAATACCTTGTACATTATGTAATAATAGTAATGATTGCTGAATGAGTGATAGTGAGCTGACACAAATGAGCAAACACACTGAAAACACATTCATCATGTGACAAACTGACCACAAGTTTGGTATAGCATTATGCATAATAGTAAATTAGGATAAGAGGTAAATAAATTGCCATACACAAGTGTTTTCTGAAGTTTCATGTTATTAACATAACAAAAAGTCTCTCCTAGAGTCGTAGATAGAGACGATGTATAACTACTCTTACTTCTCACAACTCTCGCTTGTTTCACATGTATCTATATTATGCATATATGCTTCTTGGTTAACGTTACTCTTCACTTGGCCGATCTACAATATATCGTCAATTTGGTCGATAAACTTACATCTAGGGTATCTCTTACTGACTGCAACTCACTTCTGCAGCATAAATTTTCTCTGTCACTGTTTCCATAATCCTCTTAAACAATTGGAAAAGGACTATGTGAGCAGTGGGCTGCTGGAGGCTGATAATGATAATATACCTTTATTTTTATCTGATTCTATTATATAATAAAAAATCTGATTCTGCAACACATTAGGTCATTATAACACTTCAGTCTAAAAACTAAAGTACTGTTGCTTGTGTAATTTTTCCAGAAACAATTACAAGATTATGTTACAATTGCATTTGCCAAAGGGGCTGTACAATGGGGTTGGAGGTTGGGAATTTTCACAGGGACTTTTATGTAAATATTAAATATTTTTTAATGTCTTTATTGAACAAAATTAACATTTTATATTAGGATACAGAACTTTTTTAAGAGCTAATTGCTTATTTTACTAGCTATTAAGTTGCACTGCTATTTATTTATTTGTATGGATCTCCAACAGTTGTACATATTAAATTACTTCTGACACATGCTTTACATATCTATAGATTACTATGTACTACCAATTATAGGAGAACACATCATTCTAAAACAATAGCAGTGATTTGCCTATTTTAGTGGTAGTTGGAACAAAAATAAGTTTAACGAACAAAAGATAGTTAACAATTTTTGTAACATAAGTAAAAGTTAAGTTTAGCATAAAGTTGGTAAATAATTAATTTTCTAAACAGTCGTTACATTTTTTTTTCTAAAAATTGTGAGCCCGACAACCAATGTCCAGTGTTGCTATGTTTTTTACACAAACATTGTATATGCGTGATATACGTGTTATTGGAGAATTTTGTCCAAGTTTTGTTCGAGTGCTGTCAGTCTTAAAGAAAGGACATGGGTTGCGAGGAGGTCTCCGAGGTACATTAATATTAAATGTGCTCAACAGCTCACTGTCATCAATTTTATCACTGCTATGTTTTACTTGTTCCGAGAAACCAGCCTGGGAAATAATACTTTCTACTTTCACTAGAACAAAAGAAACTGCAGTTGCAAACTTGACTGCCAAGAGAGTGCATCTATGGCAAATAACCCTTTTTTTTAACATGGGGAATTAATGTGGAAATGGGGAAATGCCTACGCATACCCGCCTCGCGGGGGCAAGGACGGGTTATGTCGGACTCGCACCGACTAAATGGTGTTCCACCTTCGTCGCATATTGGCAGGGCTACGGGAACGCTTTCGCACACTTCCGCGGCCCCACCAGCGACTGCCGCCCCATGGCAGCACCTCATCGGGAGAGGAATATTCCTCCCCGTTCTCCTTCCCAAGTAAGGCGCACCAGAACACATGGCACGCCTTCCTCCACGGCCTCCAATTACATCTGCGCAACAGACGCCCCCGCGTCCGATGCGCGAAGGCCATGGGGCCAGGAAAAACGAGCACTTAGAAGTACTAGCCTACCCGACCCCAGCGGCGGATCTGGTCTATGGCTCCGCCGCCAACCAAGATTCGGCTGCGGAGGATAGGGAGAGCGGCGCCTCGCAATACCGACAATCCTCTCCCCCCGCAGCCCCATCACCACCGCATCAACGGTGCGGCCCCGTTTGAGTCGCGGAGGATAGGGCGAGTGGCGCATCGCCATACCAACACTCCTCTTCCTCCGCGACTCCACCTCGGCTGCAGCGGTAGGTGGGGAGGACACACCTCTCACCGCAGTCCACCAACACACATCCGAAGTGGGCTTCCCAAGCCCACTCGGAGTGGCCACCTCGGGCCGGCCCTCCACCTCGGACCAGCCATATGGGTTCCTCTTTGTTTCGCCGTGGGTGACCAATCCACGGCTTCTAAGCCCCCCCGCCACGACAAGGCGGGAACCCGTTCGGGGGGGATGGCAAATAACCCTAATACGAGGAAATCTACAGGGAGGTCAGTCATAAGCAATGGACTTGTAATTAGAATATATGAATGAAAATATAGTTGATCAAAATTTCCATCACAAACCAAATGATAGGACATATTGTTTTACTAAGCATCAAAACCAAATTTTAAATTTAATATCCAAATTAGTTTTTACATCATATTTATTTAATGAACTGAAATAATCGTCCTTTATTACGGACTTTGGACTTATAATTTTTCTTCTATGTAAATCTTTTTACGTCAACAAGAAAGAATTTTGTTAATATTTTTTCCTGTATTTTTCTTACAGTTTAATAACAACAACTGTGTCAGTATATCGCGGCGATACATCTTTAGTAGAGTATATTTTTGCTGGTGCAATCACGGGAGCTATTTATAAAGCCAATTTAGGATTAGCTGCAATGATTGTTGGAGCTGGAGTTGGTATGCATATTTACAATAATATAAATTGCTATGGGCTTTTTTACAGTTCTTTTATAGGGTTATTCCGTTTATCCACCCCAGGGTGGATAATCGGAATTCGTATATTATTTTTCTTCCGATTTTTCTCTATCGTAGGGTGATTTTTTAGGGTAGATAAACGGAATAACCCCTTTTATAAAAATGAAATGATAAGCTAACTTATCCTACCTGATAATAAGTGGCTAGTACAGTTCAGACTTGCCGCCAATTTCAAACGGAGAACGCTACAGATGTGTTGTCACCTCTGAGGACTAAGATGGAATGCCTCATAGTCTGCACTGGATAATCTATTAATCATAATGCGCATACAAATATTATGTGTACGTGTCTCACTCGATATAGCTATTGAATATAAGAAAGATTTTTTAATAACATTTTTCTATCTTTACTACGTAGGTCAAGTAAATAATAAACTATAAATTCCTGTCAAACGCACTGTTCTTGATCTCGTAAAGATTGCCCTTTTTATAGAATATGGGTGACAAACAAGCACACAGTCCACCTGATGGTAAGTGGATGCTGTGACTCATAGACATCTACATTTATCCTCGATTAAGAATGCAAATGCGTTGTCACACCCGAGGACTGAGATGGAATGCTTCGTTTCCAGTAGAAATGGTCTCCGGTTCTCTACACTTACAGAAATGTCTATGTCTATGAGACATGAATGAAAAAGGTTCTATAGTTCTATATATTAATAATTTAAATAATATTGGTGTTGGTGGTGATATATCTTTATCGGTATAGAGACGTTTTCGTTCATTTTATTAAACATGCTTTGTTTATGCCTGTACCCGGGGCCCTTTAATATACCTCGTGCAATTGGTATTTCCCGAAAGTAATCAACAGTTGTTGCCGTGGTCAAAATTGACCAGATGAATGTCTTCGTCATTCTATATATGTACGTAAATAGATCTTATTTCCAACTACAACATAGCTTAATAAATTAATCAATATCTTATTTGTTACGCAATATAGCTATAAAATACTAAAACACAAATATTATTAAATAATACTCAAGTGTTAGTGGGGTGTACCAACTTCTCCAAATATCAAATTTTCCAGCTGCTAATGAGTAAAAATATAAAGATTTATTTTAAATTCATACTCAGTAGACTGGCGACAGGGAGCAATATCACTAGTGCGAGGGTAATGGTTCAGTGTTCATCGATGCGCAATATTTATCAAGGTTACATGCCTGTCGTTGTAACTAGGATAATCTTATATTCATTCATTATAGCCATACAAAGTCCACTGATGAACATAAGCTCTAGCCTAACCCCAAATAGTCGGATCCGACCACGGCGATATTCCGTCAAATCCCAAGTGGTCGGATCCACACCCACCCACAGCACTTTAACACATAAATACTTATGTTTAGAGATTACTTTTATATGAAGCAGTTTGGGATTATAGAATCAATATGAAATTTTCTATATTTTAGTGCAATAAAAGATCAGTTAGTCTATGGATATTTATTTATAATCTACGTTCATTACGTACGCCATTTTAATTTGGATGTTGTGTTGATTTTTGGATTTTTTAGTGTTTTATTAGTGTTTTAGTATAGTGTTTTATTATAAAATTGATATGAAAGTTTTTTAGTGATTATAATTTTTCTTTTTACGTAAATAATTTCGAGTAATATAGAAATATTAATAGAAATAATAGTGATTTTTACGCTTGCGACATCCGCTTGGTATGTTTTTTTTTGTTATCAAAATACAATAAAATCTTTTTGTAATGAAGTAAAACCTGACTTTCGTTTAGACGACAGGATAGAGAGTTTTGTATAGGTTTTATAAAGCCAAACTGCTTTATAGAAAAGTAGTGTCTCTAAACATAAGTTTTAATGGTTTAAAGTGCTGTGGGTGGGTGCGGTCACATGCGACCGCTCTGGATTTGACGGATGGATGCAGTCGGCATAAGATTTTATGGGGATTGAAGGGCTAGATCAATTGCCTGGGGGAATATTTTACATAGTTATCACACTCGGCTGGTGGGTTGGCAACCACAGTTTTCTTATTGATTTGTTAGTAGGGACACTTCCTGTTTCACTTTCCTGATAACGACACCTACGGAATTTTGTGGTTTATACATAACTAAAACTTTGTTACTTTATACCATCTAATCATCATCATTTCGTCTACTAGAACAATTGAAGGAAATCTTTTCAAATCTATCCCAATTTTTAACGAAGAAGACCTCTATTGCGTTTTCACCCGAACTACAATAAATTGCCTCTCAGCATTCTATTATCTTTGAAATTGGAAAACAGCAGTGAACACACTTTAGCATGGCAAAAAGGAATAGAGGTAATACCAAGAGGGTAGTACCAACTTAAAAAACGAGGCAGAAGAAGTAGCTGTCTCACCCAACCTTCAACTTATTATAATTTACTGCATTTATATGAAAATAATTACTATTTTGTAATATTTGATTGCAGGTGCCACTTTAAGTACATTGGGAGGATTAGCTATTTTTAGGCATTTTAAAAGCTACTGGAGTCACAATGGATGATATAAGACAAGCCCTTTACAGAATAAAGACAGCAAGGTATGTAAAATAAGTTTTTTCCTAAAGGTGCTACACATGTTTCAAATGCTCTTTCAAAACTATTTAATTTCAAGTGTCGTAAGAGGCGATGGACGGGAAATGAAACAGCAGATGGGTAACAGCATCTTCCTCAAAATAATAAAAAAACTGCGGTTGCCAACTCACCTGTCTGCCTGCATGCCTAGCGTGGCAACTATGGTAATCTTCCAATCTAAGGCAATTTTTGAGGAGGCCCATGTTCAACTCTGACTTTTTAGGCTGTTTGGTTCGGAATTTTAAAAGACCTTTGTATACTATACTCGTCTGACCAATTTGCTGGCGTTGTTACGTAATTGCTAGCTACATCAACAACAAAAAATAGAGAAAAGGTCAACTCCACATTTCTTCCAATTTTTTTTTTATTGTTTCTAAAGTTTAATGACAAAACGCCGAAATGCGCGATTTTAGGCCCGAAAAAATTCTCCATCCTATTCTATCCCACAGGTGTCAATGTGACGACTAGGTGAATGACAAGAAAGATCTCGTAGCCGATTAATAGTGGCATACTACACTCCATATCTATACCATATGCCACGTATAAAATATTCAGTGGCGTGCAGTTTCAAAT